GGAAGGTGAAGAATCTAAAGCTGGAGAATTTAAGCCAGCAAAGGATAGTTTGATAATTTTAGAAAGAGATTTGGCTTAAAAAACATCAAGATAACAGGAGTAGCAGCTTCTACTAACCAAGAGGCAGCAATGAGTTTCCAGACGCCATTAAGAAAATCATTGAAGAGAAATGATTATTTGCCTGAACAGGTATTTTAATGCAGATGAAAATGCCCTATTCTGGAAAAAAAATGCCAGAAAGGACATTTATTAGTAACAAAGAGAAGCAAGCACCAGGATTTAAGGCAGGAAGGAATAAGCTAGGCTAACTTTATTGGTTTCTGCAAATACAGTCAGGTTTACGATCAGGACTGCCCTTATCTATAAAGCTGTAACTCCCAAGCCTTGAAGGGAAAAGATAGATTTTAACAGCTACCAGTCTTTTGGTTATACAAGAAGGCCTGGACAATGAAAACCTTTTTTCTGGATTGGTTTCATCAGTAGTTTTTCCTCTGAACTCAGGAAGCACCTTGCCAGTAAAGGGCTGCTTTTTAAAGTTCTTTCAATATTGGACAACTCCCCTGGCTACCCAGAAGCCAATGAGTTCAACACCGAAGGTGTCATAAGTGGTTTACTTGTCCCAAACACAACTTGTCTAATTCAGCCTCTACATCAGGAGGTCATAAGGACCTTTAAGGCTCATTACACATGGTACTCTATGGAAAGGACTGCCAATGCTATGGAAGAAAATCCCAACAGAGAGAACAACACAAAAGGCTGGAAGGATTACACCACTGAAGATGCTGTCGTTGTTACAGGAAAAGATGTGAAAGCCATCAAGCCCAAAACAATAAATTCCTGCTGCAGAAAACTGTGTCCAGATGTTGTATATGACTTCACAGGATTTATGACAGAGCCAATCAAGAAAATCATGAAAGAAATTATGGATATGGCAAAAAAGCTGGGGGGTGAAAGGTTTCAAGTTATGGATTTTAGAGAAATTCAAGAGCTAACAGACACCATACCAGAGGAATTAACAAAAGATGGCTTGATATTGACTTGACATAGATGAGTGCTTCCAAACTAATGCCAGATGATGAAGAAGAAGGCAAAGCAGCAGTGCCAGAAAGCAAACTGACATTAGACAATCTGGTAGAAAGGTTCTCATTACACCAGACTGCTTCTGACTTCTTGTAGGCAATGAACCCTTCTATGATAGGGGCACTAAAACCAAAGCAAATGGAGGAAGGAGGACCGGTACCGTATTAGAAATTTTTAGAGAAATGGAAAAGCAAAAAAGTCAGACAGAAATTATGATGTATTTCCGTAAGGTTAAACAGAGTGTGCCTGCCTCTCAATGTGAAGATAGAGGATGAAGACCTTTACAATGATCTACTTCTACTTAATCAATAGTAAGTGTATTTCCTCTTCCTCAAGATTTTCTTAATATTTTCTTTTCTCTAGCTTACTTTAATGTAAGAATACAGTATATAAAAAATGTAACATAAAAATATGTGTTAATTGACTATGTTATTCGTAAGGCTTCTGGTCAACAGTAGGCTATTAACAGTTAAGTTTTGGGGGAGTCAAAATTTATATGGGGATTTTCGACTGCATGGGGGTTGACACCCCTAATTCCTGTATTGTTTTAAGTGTCAATTGTACTTTAACATACACTTAAAAATTTGTTAATAGGGTGGAATTCATGTTATGTGTCTCTACTATGATAGTAATCTTTTAAAAATATAAATGGGGACCATTTTTTTTTTTTTAAAGACACAAAGTCTTGCTGTGTTGCCCAGGCTGAACTTTAACTCCAGGGCTCAAGTGATCTTCCCGCCTCAGCCTCTTTCACATAGCCACATTTCTGACTATTTTGTCTCATAATGCAAGTCCAAATGCTGTAACTTGTCATTTAGAACACGGTTCCAGTCAGATGCAGTGGTGCATGCCTGTAGTCCCAGCTGGGACTAACTCCATAGTTAGAAATGTGGCTGTGTGAAAGAGAATGCAGAGAAAAGAGAACTTGTGGAATCTATCTTTATACTACCCTACCCTCAACCAGCTTACTCTTTAATCTATCTCCCTAAGATGGTAAGAGGTTAAGGATCATCACTTTACACTTTGCCCCTAAAATAAATCATTGTCCAAAGTCCTAAATCTAATATTAGAGTCCCCAAAGCAGAAGACATACATTTAAAATTACAAAAGAAAAAAAATCTCCCAAATCTTCAGGTTCAGTCACGTGAGCAATGTAATTCACCATGTGAACAGACTAACCAAAAACGAAGAATTACTCATTAAAAAATTTTGAGCAAATTCAACATGCATCCATAATAAAAATATTTAGTAAACTTGGGATAAAAAAAATGTTCATTAGTTTTTAAGTTCATCAAA